TTACTTAAGAACCCAACATGAACCAATAAATTGGAAGCATATCAATAGTAAGATCTGGGTTTTGTCATCATTTTGAGAACCATAAGCTCAAAAATCTCTAAATCTTACTAGGAGAAAGAAGGAAAAGCTAAGTCTCACCTTGTTTTTTCTGGCAAAAAGGTTTTGAGCGCAAGCCAAGCCTTTGAGAGGGAAAATTTTGGTGAGGGTTAGGCGAAACACGTAGAAATAGGTAAGGAGAAAGAGCAAATTCAGCCTTAGACGCTTTTTATCACCAAATTTCACTTTTAACCCCCTTAGGTTTGTGAATTTTAGCTATTAGGTACAAAAATAATAATTTCTACCACATAAATCCCTAACTTAAATTCTAAAATTTTAGAAAATTTTGGGATATTATAATCTATTTATTAGGTTATTGTTATTTAAATAAGATTAAGTTGTTCTCATTTAATTATGTTAGGATTGTTGGTTAGTTAGTTTTAGATAAAGTTATCTTGTAATACCTACTTAAAAGCTAGTTTAAGTTCATTTTAATGAGAGCTTGATTTACAATCCCATTTTCCTCCTCTCTTGAATCCTTGGTTTCTTAGCATTTGGCATTAGATCTTCCTAATTTAGACAACCTCTTAGTTTAAGGTGGTGTGTGATAAAAGCAAAAGTTAGCTTTTTATTCATTGGTGCTTATTATCATGGCGTCAAATAACTTTGTATAGTCTTCGATTCCTCGTTTTGGGCATTATTTTGATCATTGGAGATGTTAATGGATAATTTTTTTGAGGTATAGAATGCAATAAACAATTCTTGATTATGGTGTAGTACAACTAATGACAGATGCAAGTGATGTACAACAGGTACAAGTTGAAGTGCAAAAGTTAAAGGATTATAAGGCAAAGAACTACTTGTTCCAAGCCATTGATTGTGTAATCTTGGAAACTATTTTCAATAAGAATACTTTTAAGCAAATTTGGGATTCCATGAAGAAGAAATATCAAGGGAATGCAATGGCAAAACAACAACAGCTCAAAACTTTGAGGGCAAAATTTGAAACTCTCCAAATGAAGATGAGAGGACCTATTGATGATTATTTCTCTCGAACATTGGCAATTGTAAACAAGTTGCTAATGGATGGTGAAAGATTGGAAGATATCACCATTGAAAAAATCCTTCGATCAATGACAACCAAATTCAATTATGATGTTTGTTCAATTGAAGAATCCAAGGATCTTGTTGAACCTTCTCTAGATGAGTTGGAGAATTCTTTGTTGGTGCATAAGCAAAAAATCAACCACCAAGATCAACAAGAGCAAGCTTTAAAGGCCATAACAAAGGTCATAGGTTATTGTAAAGGGAGTTGGAATGGTAGAAATTGAACTAGTAGATTTGAAGAAAACTTTAGCACCAATAATTGGGCTGGCAAAAACAAATCAAGAGATAATTTTGCAACTGGAAATCAAAGATAAAAATAGAGAAGTCATGGTAATCATGTGATTAATTATAAATCCAAGCCAATAAATAAGTCAAAAGTTGAATGCTATAAATTCATAAATATGCTCATTTTTAAAGTGAGTGCTTTACCAATTTAAACAGAAATAAAGGAGAAAATTTCACCTTACATAACAGGAGGTGAAGGAAGAAGAAACAATAGTATTGATGGTGTCTCATCATAAGGAAGGCACTCATAAAAACAAGTGGTACCTAGATACTAGATGCAGTAATCACATTTGTGGAGATAAGGCAGCATTTTCTATCTTAGATGAATCCTTCTATTCCATTATGAAGTTTGGAGGCAATTCTGCATTTTTTATTTAGGGAAAAGATGTGTAAATTTGATCCTAGGACAATTCTATAATGATTATTTCTAATAGTTTCTATCTATTAGATTTGAAAACAAACTTTAAAAGTATGGACAACTTATGGAGAAAGACTATGAAATCCTTATTAAGGTTGGTTTCTATCAAGTTCATGATGCAAAGCATAACTTAATTGCAAAAGTCAACATGACAACCAACAAAATGTTCCCACTATATTTAGAGAAAGCAAGTTTTTCTTGTTATGTTGTCAAATTGAATGATGGTGCCTAGCTTTGGCATTATAGATATAAACATCTTTGGTAGCTTGAGGGTTCTACAACAGAACAAGACAGTATAAGGTTTGTCAAAATTTTTTACTCTAGCAAAAGTGTGCTCAAATTGTGTTGTGAGCAAGTAACATGGTGATAACTTTTCAAATGGGAGATGTTGGAAAGCAAGAGTAGTTTTGAGATTGGTTCATTCCAATAATGATGTAAAGACAATAATATTAAAAGGTAGATGACATTAGCTCATACATGGTTTTTGTGAGAAAAGAAATTGTATTATCCTAGACATGGTGCTAAGTTTGTTGAGGAGTGAAAATGCATAGAGGATTTTGGCCAAAAGCAATCAATTGGAGTATGTATGTGATAAACAAAAGTTCCACTTTAATAGTTAGAAACATAACACTAAAAGAAGCATAGAATGGCACATGACCCATTGTTGATCATTTTAGAATTTTTGGGTATATAGCATATGGTATACACCCAAAATTTGTGAACCAATGCTTATAAAGAAGTATCACAAGATGCAAAGTGGCAAAAAGTTGTGAAGGAAGAAATATTTGCCATTGAAAGAAATGATACCTTGGAGTTGATAGAACTACCAAAAGGGTAGAAAAGAACTGGTGTGAAAATGAGTCTATAGGATAAAGTTCAAAGAAAAAGGAGATGTAGACAAATACAAAACACGCTTGGTGGCTAAGGATTACAAGCAAGAATATAGAGTTGATTGCAAGGAGGTTTTTAACCTGTAGTAAGGTTTGATATGATCAGAATGGTCATAACACTAGTATCCTAGAATTCATAGCTAATGTATTAGCTAGATGTTGCATCTGTAATTTGGTATAGAGAACTAGCAAAAGAGGTATTTATTGACCAACCTCTTGGTTTTGTTATTTATAGCAATGAGAACAAAGTTTATAAATTGAAGAAAGCTTTGTATAAACTAAAACAAGCATCTTGAGCTTGGTATTGTCATATAGATAACTATTTCTTGAAAGAAGGCTTTCAAAAGTTTTCATATGAGCATACTCTTTACACAAAAATCAGAGATGGAAGGAAAATGCTCATAATCCATTTATATGTAGATGATCTTATCTATGTTGGAAATGACCAAAATATGCTGGCAAAATTTAAGCAATCTATGAAGCAAGCATTTGGCATGACATATTGGGCTTTGATGCATTATTTTCTTGGTTTAAAGGTGGTACAATTAGTCACAAGAATATTTGTTAACTAGAAGAAATATGTGCAAGACGTTCTAGATAGATTTCAAATGAAAAATTGCAATTTTGTCACAACTCTAGTGGAAATGGAGTTGAAACTTGTGAAGGAATTCAATGAAAAAAATGTTTACAACACTTTGCAATCATATTGTTGGAAGCTTGATGTATCTAACAAATAAATGGAGATATCACAAGAGGTGCATTTGAGTGTTGCAAAGGAAATTCTTAGATGTCTATAAGACACTATAGATTGTGGTTTATCCTACAAAAAAGATAATCAGACAAAACTTGTTGGTTTTACTTATAGTGATTATGCATGTGATATTGTTGATAGAAAAAGTGCTTTTGAATATATTTTTTGTTAGGTTCTACAATTATCTCATGGTCATCAAAGAAGCAACTAATAGTCACTTTGTCAACCACAAAAGCTAAATATGTGGCAAGAATTGCATGTGCTTGTCAAGCGATTTGGTTAAGGAGAATTTTGGCAAAAATTCGTGGTAACCAAGAAGAAGTAGAAGAAGCAACTTTAGTTTATTGTGACAATAGTTCTTCAATCAAGTTGTCATGAAATCTTGTTTTGTATTGGAAAAAGTACACATAATCATGTGAAATTTCATTTTCTGCGTAACTTGGTAGAAGAAGAAACCAATGATCTGAAATATTATACAACTGAAAAATCAAGTTACAAATATTTCACTAAGCCTCTCAACATTGCAACATTCTCAAAACCAAGGGAATTTCTTGGTGTTAGCAGCATGGCAGAAGTGTCTGTAAGACAACAAAAATTCTAATTGCAAATTAAACTAAAGTTTTTTAAAACTTTCAGTTTAAGGGAGGAAATGTTGAGAAAATCAAGGAAATGTAGAGAAAATCCCTCAATATTAGGAACTAGTTTAGTTATTATCTATTTGTTAGGTTGTTCTTATTTAATATTGGATTAGGTTGTTATCATTTAAATATGTTAGGATTGTTGGTCAATTAATTTTTTTATCAACTGTTGCTTAGTTAATTTTAGATAAAATTATTTTGTAAAGCCTATTTAAATTTCATTTTAATGAAAGCTTGATTTCCATTCCCATTTTCTTTGTCTTTTGAATCATTAATTCCATAACAACGAAGGACAAACAGACTTCACTAAAATCATTCTCATTCCCCCTTCACTAAGATTATTCTCCTAGCTATAGACATTAGCTATTCATTAAAAAAAGGTTAAAATACCAATTTAGTTCCTTAGCTTTCAAATTTTTATTGAAATTGTCCCTCAACCTTAAAAAATATCCAAATTGTCCCTACGCTTTAATTTTTAATACAAAAAAGTCCTTCCATTATCAAAAATGTCATGTAACTCATTATTTTGTTATAATTCAATTTTTTAAAATACTAATGATGTGTAAAATCAAACAATCGTATTTTACCATTGTAATATATTTTTATTTATATATTATATTAATTTATAATTAAAAGGTTATATCCCAATTCAGTCCTTCAACTTTCATTTTTGGACTAAAACTACCCTCAAACTTCAAAAAGTACTAAAAAAATCCTTAAACTTCAATTTTTGGGACCAATTTTGTCCTTCCGTCAGTTAATTGCTAACGTGGCAAAATTTTCAGTTAACAAATTCAATTTTTATTAATATTAAATATTACCTGGAAATAAAATGAGTGATGTGGCATTTTTAATTATAAAACTATTGTGATTTGGCACAAAAATATAATTTAATAAATAAAAATTTCTTTTCTTTCTTTTTTTTTCTTTCCTTTTCTTTTTTTCTCTCCCTCTATTTCCTTTTCTCCCTCCCCTCCCTACTGGGTTCGAAGGAACCCAACACCAGCACCTGGGTTCCTCGAACCCAAGCGCGGGTCGAGGAACCCAGGCGCTGGGTTCCGAACCCAGCGCCTGGGTTTGAGTCGAACCCGCCTGGGTTTGAGTCGAACCCGCCTGGGTTTTTTTGTTGTGTTTCTTTGTTGGCTTGCAATCATGCTTGAATGGGATTTAGAGTTTTGCGTTGCTTCTGATTGCTTGAATTTCCAGATCTAGTTACTGTCGATGTTGATTGAAGGAATGTTGTGTTTTCTTTACAGATCTGATATACATTTGTAGAGGAATTGATTTTTTGAATCAGATCTATTGGTCATTATTATTATTGTGCGAGGAACCAAATTTGAGTTTTATTAGAGAGGAGGTTTGGGGAAGAAGTAGATGGTGATTGGAGTGGTAATAGATGATCGGAGCAATGAGGGATGACCGGAGTAATGAGGGATGATCGATGTTGATTGGGTTGCAAGATGAGAAGACATCTGAGGATAGAGAGAGACGAGAGGTGATGGAAGATGAAGATGGGGGTATTTAAGGAATTTTAAA